TTATTTACAGTTCCCATTAAAATAAAGTACAAATCCATTTATTTAAAGAAAACATTCTAGCCTTTAGTTTGCTTTTTGCAGTGAAGAGGTATCAGTAATTCTAGGAGTGAAAAATTAGTTAAAATAATTAGATCTTACCATGAGAGAGAATGTCTTTTTCAATCTGAGTTTGTGCTGCTACAGTAAAAGATCCAAAGATCTACCAGAGCCTTTTCTCAGCTGTTTGGTCTTCTTTAAACTTTGGTGTGTAAATTAAACCACAGAACATCCCTGATAGTTCAACATATTCAGCTCAAGAAAAAAAGTTTTGAAATCTGTAGAAAAATGTATTTATTTTCTAATAAAAGTAACGCCTGACACCTCACACACATTTTGGGATCTACATCCTGGTACGGATACAGCATGAAGTGGGGGTCCATGTGCTCCACCTGGAGAAGAACACAACAGCAATGAGGAAAAAATGGCCTAGTTAAAGATTTTAACAGGATCTAAATGATGCATACATGGTGACTAGAGGTGGGTACAAACTAGTTACATTTATCCATCCAAATTCTGTCACGCTTATCCCAAGTGGGGTCACGAGGGGTGCTGGTGCCTATCTCCAGCTGTCTACAGGCAAGACATAGGCACACAATCATTCATACACTCACACCAATTTAGAGAAACCAATTAACTTAATTGTTTTCAGACTATGGGAAGAAGCCAGAATACCCGGAGAGAACCCACACATGTTCAGGGAGAACATACAAACTACATGCAGGAATCAAACTTATGAAATTATGAGTAATTTATCTACATTGTAGTTTTTACTTTTACTTGAGTAAAATATGAAAAATTATCACAACTTTGAAATAACATTTCAGGCTACTCTATACTCTATACCTTTTTTTTTTTACTTCACCTAAATGAAAACAAGCTTGTTTTAGCAAAAAAGTACCTGAGAGAAAACTACTTCTTTTTTGACCCAATGCTTATTGGTATAATGTTGTTTTCAGAGATAGGTAGAATTCCCCCAAAACTTTACTCAAGTAAGACCCCCCCCCCTTTTTTCACTCAAGTAGAAATAGAAAACAGTCATCCAAGGAATCATTCAAGAGGAGGTAAAAAAAAAATACTTGATATGGGCTAATAACATCTGATTTAATATTTGAACGTATTTAATAGGGCAGTCAGCTATGTGCA